AGCTCTATAATATCAGACCTATTGTTTAAAATTTTCACTCCAATCTTATCATTGCCTACAAACATATATTTTGAAATTTTGATAAAATAATTTAGTACTCACTAAAAACACGGTATGTCGCTAGTGGTAGGAAAAATAATTTTTAGAGGTTTCTAGTTTGTTTGGTTGCCTGTGATATGCATATACAGGGTGTTCCCTAATTAATATAGAAAATAAAAAATCGTTAGAAAATGGCTTAAGGCGGGCTCTTAATAAGTATATTTATTTTTTCTCGACAACCGTTTGATGAACAAGAAAAACTCAAAAGATCAATTTTGTTGAAAAAGGATGGCCAGTCAAGAAAAAAATATATTTTCTTTAAAAAAGCAGTGGTGTACTATTTATTTTAAGCATAATATCGATTTTGTTTTAATTTTTAACACCCTGTAGATCAGAAAGGAAGTACTTTAGACCCAATGGTTATATAAAAATTGTTTTAAGAACACATGATGGAATCACACCACAATTTTTTAGACTAATTAGAAAACACCCTGTATATTGTCAACTTGACAATGATTGTTGATAAATCAAAAAATACCTTTTCTGTGAAAAAAGCCCGATTTTCGCAGGAAAAATTTTGGTTTTTATTGAATTTGGGTCTGCGTCTGCAAATACCCCCGGTATGATTTATAATATTCTATCTAAATTTTAAATATAGTCAGAAATAGTTTTATTATTTATTAACTGTAAAAATGGTATACTTATAAGTTTCATTAAATATTGTGATTTACTTTCTACCTTGTAGTCAAAATTTATATTTAATAAACTGTAAAATATATATATATATTCTTATGTTTTATTAAAGTTACTCTGATACACTAATATATCAGTGTAACTATAAAACTAAATCCTTTGAAATCAAATATAAACATAAAAAATATTTACAGCAGAAAAGGCGAAGGCGCTGGGTTAAACGTAGTCTCTACTAAGAACACGGAGGGGCGCTTTGACCCAAAATTTTACTATTAAGTTTCATATCTATCTTAATAGAAGATTATTTTTTTTTATCTATGAATCTTATTAATGTAGTTAATTGTCAATATACCTGATAATTCAGACATATGTTGGAACCAAAATTTTACATTGTTAAATGGAAATACTATCCATAACACATACAGGGTAGCCCAGAAAATATATAGGGGGATTCACGGCGATGGCACGTTAGATGTTTATGGATAACCGGTGAATTTTTTGAAAATTTGGGTTTTGAATAATTGGATATACTCTGTTTTTTCTCAGGTAAGATTTCGACAGGCGATGACAGATAAAAAGCAGACTAATACTGACTTTTCTAATATTCTTTAAGTTAACTATGAATGGGTTTATAAATAAATACGTCATGCGTCGTCTCTTGTTGTTTTTAATCAATTTTATTGGTTTATTTCAAAATTGACAGATCATATTTCAACATTATTGGTTTGATGCAACGATGAACGACAAACGGACACCTATGCGTATGAACTCGACTTAAGATTTTTGAGAGTTGTCAAACTATTGCCAAATTATAGGTTATAATTTTGTGTCAAATTATGTCAAATAGAAATGATAAATATTTTGCATTTTGGACTGTGTTGTTACTTGTGTTTCGTGTTTTTTTTTTAATTAAGTGGAGGAAAACTCAAGGGAAAATTAAGTGTTGACCCAGACCATAGTTTACAGTTAATATTCGGTGCACAGAGACCCCCAGAGACACAGTTTGCCAGAGACTATGGCCAGAGAGTTATATTAGCCACAAATAAAGTTGTATACCATCTCGTATATGGTACCAAAAACTGGAGTATCTGTAAAATAACATCACACGATAGGTAACTAATACATTTTAGTACTGCAGTAAAAATTAAGATTAAAGTTAATTAACCAAGATTAGATTTTTTCAGTTTAATACAATTTTTTTTCACAATATTTTGAAGTAATCACTTCTCACTCAAAATTCAAATATATTAATTATGCGTTCCAATTGTACCAACTGATTTCTTTGTAAAATAAAATAAACTACATTGAAATTAAAATGACAGACACATCTATCACTGTCAAGGATCTTGTCGTTGGACAGACTATAGATATAGATTAGTAAACCGGGTGTTCCATTTAAAATAATAATTTGTTTAAGAAGCGGCAACACTGTAATGCTGAAAATAATTTAGACTGGTGGAGAAAAAGGTTTATACAAAAATCCAAATTATCAAAAAAATCCTATCACCGGTTCTCCATAAACGTCTAACGTGAATCACCCTGTATATACGGTTCCGAAATAATTTTATCCAACGAACAATCAAATCAAAACTTGCTCAATACATATGATTTTTCTTTAACCCACTTTATCCTTCAGGTTAATCTTTAAAAAATATAGTTATTTTTGTAAGTATATTAAAAGTTAAGAAAAAATGTCACATGTTAATTAAAATTTATATTTACGAATTTCTCATACAGAGAGTAAAGATCTTTCTTCGCACGTAAATAAGAATTATTACAAGACTTTGTGCTTTTACCCCCACATCAAGAAATGAAACGTAAAAAAGAAAACACGTCTCTGAGAGTCTATACTCTGTTTTTTTTCTCAGGTAAGATTTCGACAGACGATGACAGAAGAAAAGCAGATGACGTCCCATACCAATCTATTTATTTTACTAAAAAAAGTTTCTAATAATTTTTAAGTTATCTATGGATGGGTTTAAATATAAATCCGTCATACGTCGTGACTTGTTGTTTTTAACCAGTTTTATTGGTTTATTTAAAAAATGACAGATCGTATTTCAATTTTATTGGTTTGACGGAACGATGAACGACAAACGGACGCCGATGCGTATGAACTCGCCTTTAGATTTTTGTCATTTTTGACGCTTGTCAAAGTCTTGCCAAATTCTAGGTTATAATTTTGTGTCAACTTTTGTTAAATACCCTGCGTTTTGGAATATGATGCATTTTGATTCGTATTATTACGTGTGTTTTGTGTCTTTTGAAGTCAAGTGGAGGAAAAATCGAGTGAAAATTAACTGTAGACCCAGAGCACAGTTTATGGTTAATACTCGCTGCCAGGGCAGAAAGTCTTATACACCAATGAAGTTGCTATCGATAAAGTTTGTATACCATTTCGTCGTAGATAAGTGCATCTTGTATATGGTAGAAGGATCAAACTAAACACATACTAAAAACTGGAGTAGCTGTAAAATATCGATATCACACGATAGGTAAATAATGGATTTTAGTACTGCAGAAAAATAATGTCAAAAGGTACTGGTTTAAAAAATTAAGATTAAAGTTAATTAATCAACCTTTAAGGTATAAAATTTGGTAGGTGTTATTATTAATAAAATAGTTTGTTTTATTTACCTATGTTGTTTTATTTATTCCTGTGGAATATTACAAATTTGTATTTGTACATAAGTTATATTGATAAATATAATCATAAATGCGGGTAGTTTCATAAAGCTTGAAAGTAAATAATAGTTCTTTTTTATATTTTTTTGGTATGTAGTGTCTTGTTCATGTTTGTTTTGTATTAACACATACCGTTTTTATTAAATAAAATAACTCGATTTTATACAGTTTTTTTCACAATATTTTGAAGTAATCACTTGTCATCTTGTCAATCAAATTTTAAATATATCGCTATGCGTTCCAGTTGTACCAACTTATTTCTTTGTAAAATAAAATAAACTACTTTGAAATTAAAATGACAGACACATCTATCACTGTCAAGGATCTTCTCGTTGGACAGACTATAAACATTTTTCATGAACATAAAAATAGAGAACATATGTTTATAAATTGTATACTCTGTTTTTTTTCTCAGGTAAGATTTCGACAGACGATGACAGAAGAAAAGCAGATGACGTCCCATACCAATCTATTTATTTTACTAAAAAAAGTTTCTAATAATTTTTAAGTTATCTATGGATGGGTTTAAATATAAATCCGTCATACGTCGTGACTTGTTGTTTTTAACCAGTTTTATTGGTTTATTTAAAAAATGACAGATCGTATTTCAATTTTATTGGTTTGACGGAACGATGAACGACAAACGGACGCCGATGCGTATGAACTCGCCTTTAGATTTTTGTCATTTTTGACGCTTGTCAAAGTCTTGCCAAATTCTAGGTTATAATTTTGTGTCAACTTTTGTTAAATACCCTGCGTTTTGGAATATGATGCATTTTGATTCGTATTATTACGTGTGTTTTGTGTCTTTTGAAGTCAAGTGGAGGAAAAATCGAGTGAAAATTAACTGTAGACCCAGAGCACAGTTTATGGTTAATACTCGCTGCCAGGGCAGAAAGTCTTATACACCAATGAAGTTGCTATCGATAAAGTTTGTATACCATTTCGTCGTAGATAAGTGCATCTTGTATATGGTAGAAGGATCAAACTAAACACATACTAAAAACTGGAGTAGCTGTAAAATATCGATATCACACGATAGGTAAATAATGGATTTTAGTACTGCAGAAAAATAATGTCAAAAGGTACTGGTTTAAAAAAATTAAGATTAAAGTTAATTAATCAACCTTTAAGGTATAAAATTTGGTAGGTGTTATTATTAATAAAATAGTTTGTTTTATTTACCTATGTTGTTTTATTTATTCCTGTGGATTATTACAAATTTGTATTTGTACATAAGTTATATTGATAAATATAATCATAAATGCGGGTAGTTTCATAAAGCTTGAAAGTAAATAATAGTTCTTTTTATATTTTTTTGGTATGTAGTGTCTTGTTCTTGTTTGTTTTGTATTAACACATACCGTTTTATTAAATAAAATAACTCGATTACATTTTTTCAGTTTTATACAGTTTTTTTCACAATATTTTGAAGTAATCACTTGTCATCTTGTCAATCAAATTTTAAATATATCGCTATGCGTTCCAGTTGTACCAACTTATTTCTTTGTAAAATAAAATAAACTACTTTGAAATTAAAATGACAGACACATCTATCACTGTCAAGGATCTTCTCGTTGGACAGACTATATATCATTTTATTTTATTACCGGTATTTTTTCTGAATTCATATTTTGACAAAGAAATCTTCGTCGTAAAATGTAACATGTAAAATTACTTTATAAAAAGGCCCTGCTTTCTAACAGTCTTATTAACGTAAATATAAAATGCAAAATATATACAAACATACTTTCTAAATATAAAAAATAAATTATTTGTCACGCTATACTCTTGTACCAGATTCATTATAGAGACTGATTAATCAATCATATTTGTGATTTGGATGTCTCACATCATTTCTAGCCAGGCTTTTTGTTAAAATCGACTTAGAATCAGTCTGCTCTGGCTGAACTCCTTGTCGTCTGTTTCTTTGTAGTTCGTTAATTTCACTAAAATGTTTGATCAGGGAGTCGCTATCTGGAGGTAATCCTAGGAAGTCTTTGGAAAGGTCAAAATTGCTTCCAGGATTTCCGTAGGGTCCTTGGTGAGCGTTTGATAAAAAGGGGGTATGATCCGATTGGTCGAAATTTGTTCCAGGAAAATGGTTTGAGTTTTGTAGTAATGTGGTTGGAGTCACTGGATGTCCATATGAGTCAACAGCTCCTGGAGTGTCGTAGCTGGATTTTGAAGGGTCGTGTTCAAGTGGATGTTGTTCCAAATGAGGTACCTGAAAAAAATGTTTTTGGTAATTTAATTCTGACGTAAATTAACATAACACAAGAAATATTAGGTACTATACAGGGTAAATTTTAAGTAAGTGCAAATATACGATTATGAGTTTTTTTCGCGAAAAAAAAGGAAAATCTGGATTTTTTTTGTTTTTAATTAAAACATAATTTCTTGATAATATGGCAACATAGGTAATGTAATCGTAAAACAATTTCCAATGCACGTGATCAACTTTGTGTGACAGTGAAGCGATGGCGACAGCGCTGTCAGATTGTGATGGATTTATGAGATGAATCTTAATGTAAAATTGGGAAAAAATATATCATATTTTAAAGATTTTTACGTTTTATTTTTAATTTACAGTAATCACTAATGCTCGCTACAAATCGAGATAACTAGAAATAACTTTGAAAGTGGTATAATGTGCTTACCAATCAAACATACTTCTCTGACTGCTGTCAAGGGTGATAAAAGACTCTTACTGTCACGTTCTCGTTCAAAATAGTTTATCAGGAAAGCTACAAGCTCTTTGCTTCAATATATTTTCAACACACAACTTCAAGAAATACAATACAAAAACTCGAAAATTTAGTTCTTTAAAGAACTGTTTGTGCTTAAAAGTACAATTTAAAAAAACACTTATAAAAATCGCCAAAAAAAAACAAGAATTACTTCCAAAGATTCAACAACAACACGATATTATACAAAATAGTTATTGACATTATGATAATTATTGTCAAATAATAAGCGACAACCTTATAAAAATCGCCTTAATCTAATGTTTGCGGGTTTTTTTTTGTGAAAATTTCATTTAGTCACGTTTATAGGCTTTAGTGTCAATTTCGCTAGGACTGATGACGTGCATGGGAAAAAGTTTTGCCATTACCGTATTAGATTAAATTTACAAGAAAGAAAACTCAGAAATGATCCAGTGCCAGTGGTTCTCAAAATTTAAGCAAAAAATCATTCTTTTTTAAAATTTCCAAAGTAAAATAACTCTGTTATTTTGAACTTATTTGAAAAACGGTGAAAAGAAAATATGTGTCTTTTATCGAGATCTAAAAAGTCTGAAAATATCTGCACTTATTTAAAACTCGCCCTGTATAATATACCCTTCTTAATTATTGAATTTGCATATCTGTACCCCAGGAGCAAACTAAGTTAAGTCACAAGACACAGTTTTAAGAAAAACGTTTTTTAAAAAAAAAAATTTTTTTAAATACAGTATACCAACATTTTTTTGGAGTGGCTCAAATATGGCAATTTTGTACTTAACATAGTTTGCTTCAATGGTACAGATATGTGTTTTAACAATTCAATATATTTAAAAAAAAAATCTAAATATTGTATAGACTGTTTTAACAACTTGTTGATATTGGTGAAAAAAAAATAGATATCAAGTAGATATTGACAGACTAACTTACACCCATAGAGTTAAAAATTAAAACTTTAAAAATACTATAAATTCAATATTAATTGACAAAATGGTGAAGGAATTTTTAAAAACATCCCGTTGAGGTTTAGGTGTCAAAAGACTAAAATTTTAACAAGAATGACTACGGGAGTAGCCAATTTACGTCAATATTTGGATGAAAATTGGTGGCTGGGAGAAATTTGATTTTGATGTCAATATGACTCCTATTTGTAGGGGGCGCCATCTACATGTGTTTTAACTGTTTTGAAGAGCAATAACTTTTCTCCTCCGAACCTGTATAAAACTACTGAGGGAAAAATATACATTTCCATAATTTTTTACGTAAAAAATGCCTCTTGGTAAAAATCGCTACGAGGAACCGTTTACAAGATATTTAGAATGGAAGTAGTCAATACATATCATTATTGACAAAAAACAAACATGATTTGACTAAAATGATAAATTTCGGAACTATTTTTTCACATTAACCATACATTTTTCTTCGGAAAAATTATGATAAAACAGTTTCTGTTGAACTTTTGAAACAAAATCATTTCAAATGTATGATTTCAGTCTAATAACTATTTAGTCAACATGTTTAATTTATGTCAATGATGACAGGTATTGATAATTTCGATTCCAAGTATCTCGAGAACCATTATTCGTAGCGATTTTTGCCAAGAGACATTTTTTTACGTAAAAACGTATTTACACAGTAGTTTTATACAGGTACAGACGAAAAGTTATTACTATTCAAACCAGTTAAAAATATGTAGAGAGTGTCCTATACAAGTAGAAGTCATATTGATATCAAAATCAAATTTCTCATGTCAAAAAACTCCCAGACACTAATTTTCATCCAAATATTGACGTTATTTCAGAAATTAATTGGAAAAAATCGAAATAAAAATACTTCTACATCCTATGTCTCCAAATTTAAGCGTTTTAGTTAAACTTTTTAATTTATTTTTATCTGCAGAATATGCTGCCGAAGCTTCCGGAATACAGTTCGGACGCCCCGGTATTTTAAAAAGTTATAACTTGATTTCAAATTTGGCGCTTTCTGTATATCGATATTTGCCATCTCATTAGCCGTGTTATGAAACGGGAGTTTTCATCCAAGCTTTGACGAAATAAATCAACCAACAAGAACAATTTATCATTTTTCATCATAGGGGATAGAAATGGCACTAATGATGAAAAATGTGTTTTTGTGCGTTATTGTATCCTCGTTTTTGGGATGCCTCAAACATTTTACTTTGACCGGATTGCGGCTGGTGATTTTTTAAAACCCGGAAAATCAAATATTTGTAACATTATACGTACTTGTATAAGCACTGAAACGAAAACAATTTTGACGTTTTGTAAAAAGTGATTTCATTTTTTTCTAATCGTCAGTCTATCTTAAACCCGTGTGTTTATTTAAAACAAATAACCTGTGTCAAGAGACCAATATAACATTTGTTAATTACATAATTAATTTGGTAGTACCATACGATCGAAAAAAACGACGATTTCTTTAAAGCAAGAACGTCAAAAGTTAACATATGCTTTGTCATTCTAGTCAGAGTGTCATTTTCTATCGAATAAAGTGAACAAATCCCGATGGTGTTATTTAAAAATCAAAAGTTGTAGTTATATCCGGTGAAACAGGAAGTGATCGAAAACAATTGAATACGTCAATATGTCATGTCATAGGTATACTAACATACCAAATATCTTTTTTTATCTGAAAAAATAGAAAAGTTGGGTTGAGCCACTTTTAAGACGCACCTGATATACAGTGTGGGCCACTGAAAATTTACAATGGCTATAATTCTTAAACCAAAAAAGATATCAAAAAAATAAAAAATACCGTTTCTATAATATCGAGGGGGAATACATATGACGTATTTTTTGAACTACCCCGACCTACCCCTTAGGCGGCACCCCTACTCACTTGAAAATCTTAAATGGCAACACCCCACTTGTGGCGCCTTTTTGGAAAGCCCATAAAAAATGCTAAACGATGATCATAAAGTTTTTAGGGTGAAATTGAAAAACTACCCCTTACACGAAAAATTAGGTGGACATTAATGAAAAAAGTGATTTTTTCAGCATAAGTTACAAATTGGGGCCCAGCTTAATGAGGCAAATGAGGTATTTTTCAAACCACCCCGACCCACCCCTAGGTACCACCCACTCACTTCTAATCTCATGATAGCGATACCCCACTTGTGACACTTCTTTAGAAAGCTAATTGAAATTGCTAAACAATGGTCATACAGATTTCAACTTCTGTCTTCTTTCAACAATTACTGGTAAGTAGTGATAAGAAATGTAGGTCTGACAATTTGAAAGAAATTTAAAATGATAATTTATTTTAACAATTGCTCAAAATGACAGCCGTTTTGTTTCATACAAAAATACAAACGATTTTCAAATTCTTCTTTCACTTTTTGGAAAGTCTCGCTCGGAATATTTCGACATGCTTTTATTATGTCGAGTTATCCTCTGCCGCAATTCTTGCAACGAACCTGGTTTTGTCTTGTAGACTATGGATTTAGTGTAACCCCACAAGAAAAAGTCTAAAGGAGTGAGATCAGGGGACCTTGTCGGCCACTCGATTGGACCCCTTCTGCCAATCCATTGCCTTGGATAATATCTATCCAACCACCGCCTTGTGACAATAGAATAATGCGGAGGGGTTCCATCTTGCTGAAAGTGTATGAGGTCTTCATTAAGAGTTAAATTTCCTTCCAAATTTCTTTGATTTTCAACCTCATTTATAATGGCTGGCTCTATCAAATTGTTCAGCATTTCCAGGTAAGCATCACCAGTCAAATTTCCGTCGATGAAAAATGGACCTATAATTTTATCGCCTAGTATTCCGCACCAAATATTAAACTTTTGGGGATGTTGGGTGTGTCCTTCAACAACCATATGCGGATTCTCATCGCTCCAGTGTCTGCAGTTCTGCTTATTCACAATTCCGTTTAAAAAAAATGAGCACTCATCACTAAAACAAATATTTTTAGTAAGTGAAGGTTTCCTTCGAATTTCCTCCGTGATTAGTTCACAGAACTGAATCCTTCTATCTGGATCGTCGTCGCCAAGTTCCTGCAGAATCTTCATTTTGTAGGGATGGAATTTGTGCATTTTCAATACTCTCCTGACAGATGTTCGAGGTATACCTGTGATTGATTGGCGTGTTGATGCTTCTGGATTGACCGATACCTGACCAATAACTTCCATCTGCATTTCTTCATTCAGTACCCTGGACCCTGTCCTTGTTTTATTTTTGACCGACCCAGTTTCTTGAAACTTTAAAATCAAATCTCTAACATAAACGTGACTTACGTTTTTGTCCGGATTTCTCTCATTGAAAGCACGGGCCGTTCTCAAATAACACATACCTTCAGCACCATAAAGAAAAACTATATGAATTCTTTCTTCCACAGTATAAACCATTTTTCTTTCAAATAAGCGAATCAAGTAAACGTATAAAATACCACCAAATTTGCAAACGATTGAAAATCGATAGAAGACAGAGCAAAAACGCAAAGATATGCCGGTTTAAGATTCCTGTTTGTTGAAATTAAAAAAATAGATGATAAGGAAGAATTTGCGTTATGGCAAAATTAGGCTGTAAAAACATCTTTGTGTTGCCTTTTTTATTATCTACATTTAAAAATGGCATTGATGAGATTAGAAGTGAGGGGATGGCACCTAGGGGTGGGTCGGGATGGTTTAAAAAATGCCTCATTTGCCTCATTTAGCTGGGTCCCAAATTGTAACTTATGCTAAAAAAATTACTTTTTTTATTAATGTCCACCTAATTTTTCGTGTAAGGGGTAGTTTTTCAATTTCACTCTAAAAACGTTATGATCGTCGTTTAGCATTTTTCATGGGCTTTCCAAAAAGGCGCCACAAGTGGGGTATTGCCATTTAAGATTTTCTAAGGGGTAGGTCGGGGTGGTTCAAAAAATACGTCATATGTATTCCCCTTCGATATCATAGAGACGGTATTTTTTATTTTTTTGATATCTTTTTTGGTTTAAAAATTATAGCCATTGTAAGTTTTCAGTGGCCCACCCTGTATATGGGCCTATACCGATCTGGTCATTCAAACAACGTGGTCTGGATTTTAACGTGTAAGACAGTGATGTAGACCTCTAATATTGTTAGTAATGTTGTTACTGATGTGAGATTTTTTTTTCTATCTAGTATGTATATACAGGGGACAATAACATTTATTCAGAATGTCATTTTCTATCAAATAAACTAAAAAAATGGTACCATTTAAAAATTAAAAGTTTTAATAATTTCCGATGAAACAGGAAGTGACCGAAACAAATTAAATACGTCCAATCAACCCCGATTTAAGTTATATACTAATATACCAAATCTCGTTTTTTATCTGAAGAAAATAAAAAGTTTCTGTGAATAATAATTATTTATTATTAAAATTTTTATATGACCGATTTTATATTACTTCATCATTGGTTAATTATAAATTCTTTTAGACAATTACCTATATAGGAAGCATATTTTCCATAAAGGTAGCATGTTTTTTCAATCACATCAATCAAAGAAATAAAATTACTTACACTTATACTTATTCATTCTACATATGTTGCCTTTGTTACATAAAGCAAACGACTGATTAGTTCAAACCATTTTACGTTTATGTTAAACAGTTAACATTTACAATATTACTAGAAAAACTAATTGGTAAATCTTTTTTACTAATAACGAATAACTTGAAAATTGTGATTGTAAACTTAAAGATCTCGACTTAAACCTTAATAGCAGCATGTGCGCTCAACCAGAAATTATCTGAATATTACATTGATAATTCCATAAAAATTATTATTAACTGTTTTACCTTTTAGCACATTATAGTTGATTGTTCTTGCTACAAATCTATAATGAGTTATTGGCCAAGCGTTTATTTAACAACATATTTAATGTCCAATTTTATTTAGTGTTAAGTGAAATAATTACTTTTGTAGAGAAATCCCGACATTTTAATCAAACACACTGACTGTTTTCATTACTTATAAATTAATTCTAATGTAGTTAATGGTTAAAAGTTTAATTTTAATTACTATAATTTAATTATCTTATCGGGTAACGCCTAAAATAATTGAAACGTTTTCTAAATCGATATTATTTAAAAACATGCAATAATTGGTTTTGTAAAAAATAACCCAATTATTGTTATATGTATAGGGTGGTCCGAACTGTATTCCGGAAACTTCAGCAGCACATTCTGCAGATAAAAATAAGTAAAAAAAGTTCGTATAAATGTATGACCTAAAATGCTTAGTTTCGGAGTTACAGGGTGTAGAAATTTCACTTTTATTTCGATTATTGTTTCCAAATAATTTCTGAAGTAACGTCAATATTTGGATCAAAATTGGTGTCTGGGAGTTTTTTGACACGAGAAATTTGATTTTGATGTAAATATGACTCCTATTTGTAGAGCTCGCCAGCTTTATGCGTTTTAACTGTTTTGAATAGTAACGACTTTTCGTCTGTACCCCGTACCTGTATAAAACTACCGAGTGAAAAAAATATATTTGCGTTATTTTTTACGTAAAAAAAGATATTTAGAATGGTAATAGTCAATACATGTCATTATTGACAAAAAATAAACATGTTGAGTAGATAGTTATTTGACTGAAATAATAAATTTGGGAACTTTTTATTTTTTTAAATTAATCATAATAAAACAGTTTCTGTTGAACTTTTGGCAGAAAAAAACATTTCAAATTTATTTCAGTCTAATAACTATTTAGCCAGCATGTTTAATTTATGTCAATGATGACAGGTACTAATAATTTCGATTCCCAATATCTCGAGAACCATTACTCGTAGCGATTTTTACCAAGAGACTTTCTTTACGTAAAAAACGTCGTAAATGTATATTTTTTACACGGTTATTTTATACAAGTACGGACAAAAAGTTATAACTTTTCAAACCAGTTAAAAATATGTAGGTGGCGCCCTCTTTAAGTAGAAGTCATATTGACATCCAAATAAAATTTCTCATGTCAAAAAACTTCTAGACACCAATTTCATCCGAATATTGACGTTACTTCAGAAATTATTTGGAAAAAATCGAAATAAAAATAAAATTTTAACATCCTGTATCTGCGAAACTAAGCATTTTAGAACATACATTTATACGAACTTTTTTACTTATTATTGTACCACACTACACCCTGTATAGAAAAAAGCGAGGAAAAAAGTATCAATATAATAATTTTATTTAAGATATAATTATTTCATTAAAATATTATAATTTTACTTTTAATTTGAAATTATATTATTTTAATACCGTATGATCGAAAAAAAATGGCGTCCAGTTGGCTGGGAAATGACGATCGATGACATTTCCCATATAAATTTACATATAAAATGACAGCGATCTTCATTTTATAGCAATCGTTGACGCCGTTTTTTTCTCGATCATACGGTATTTTAGGAGGAATGTAACTTCTGGATAGCTTATTCTTTAATTATTATATTTATCTTACTACATTACTATTCTTTCAGTATTATACTTTATCTTTACAATTTCAGTCAAAAACTATCTAGTTAAAATGACTTTTTGAACGTGCCATGACAGTAGCTTTATTCGAGTTCCCAAAAAGTACGGTTCTAGAACGGTTCAAAACACTGGCAGAATATGATTTTTTGCAACTTTTGACATGAATGATTGTCGTAATTAGACTGTGCGATTGTTTTAAACCGTTCTAGAACCGTACTTTTTTGGAACTCGATCTAAGCTTATATGATTTTCTGACCTAATTATCGTAGTTTGACATGAATAGGCCCTAAAGCTCCAAATATCTTAAATTCTTTAGATACCTACTAAAAAGAATAACACTAATTTGGTATTTTTAATGTTAATTTGGTATTTTTTTGGAAATAATTTGGTATTTTTGGTACTTTTTTCCCAAAATTGGTATTTATTGTACACCATTTTTGGCAGCGGTTTGCCCCGCGGTTAAAAACTTTTAGGTGGCGCCCCCTACAAATACTGACATCGAAATCGAATGAATCAGGTTAAAGACACCAATTTTTATCAAAATATCTAGTTTAGTTTAGAAATTATTTGGAAAAGTTGAAATAAAAACGAAAGTTTTGCACCCTGTATGTTCGAAACGAAGCATTTTAGGATATGAATTTATACGAACTTTTTTACTTATTTTTATCTGCAGAATATTCTTCCAACGTTTTCCGAATACATTTCGTACTGCCCTGTCATTATTGAATATCCCATTCCCATTTGAGAGTTTTTAGTTGTGTAAATTGTCACAATGAATATACAAACCCGGTACCATCACCTTTCCCTTGAGATTAAACCGGAATGGAACTTTCTATTACTCTTACAATAACTCGCGTATTTTTCTAGCTAAAGGTAGAGATGAAAGGCCTTGGCCTCAGATAAACAACAAGTTTAATCAGATTTTGTTTTAGATGCTAATCAAATATGTACTCGCAAACAATAAACGAATAAATGCTTTCTATCTACTATCTATAAATAATGTATGATCACGCGAAAAAGAAAAAAAAATACAGTAAAAGTTTTATGTTTGATACCAATTAACCTGTCAGTTACGTAATCGAGAGCGGGATTTTTAAATCCATTGTTGTCAACCATGGACATTTTCGGCGCCGTGCTGGCTAACTGGAATTTAAAGTTCCCGCTGGAGATTCAGGTGGTAGCTCTGCTGTAAAAAATATCTAGTTGCCACATTTATTTATTTATTTCCTGGCATTGTCATTCGTTTTGACACTTTAGTTTTGTATTACGAGTTTTGGTTTAAATGATTTGTGTTGGTGATGTTTAAAGGTATTTTTTATTAGCAGACCTTGTCCAACCAGTCGAACATTGTTCTTTTTAGAACCTCTTTTAATGCAAAGTGGTATAAGATAGCTTAATAGCCGTAAAAAACTCATCACAACTTTATTAGAATATATTGAACGGGAAAGCGGTAGTAATGGTCCTCTATGTCCCATAAGTGCTGTTAAGAAGGTGAGTTTTTTTGATGTAAATAATAACTGTTTATATATTTATTATTAATTTTTTTTGTTTCCTAAAATAATTTGATTAAAAGAAAATTTATAAATATATAAATTTTCTCTCTTTTATAATTTATTTGATATGAACTATATACTGTAACATATATAAAAAAACTATATAAAAGATTTTAGTATACTTTGAACCATAAGGTATTCTTAAACTCGTCACCCTAAATATTGAATTTACTACTTTTTTTTCATAATTTTGATAGTGTTTAAGGAGACAAACAAAATGTACGTAAAAATCTATTACACATTATCAAAAAAAAATCGGAAAATAATTTTATTAATAACAAACCCTTACCTCCAAATTTTCTTCTTGTGGTTTATCAAGATCTCCATTATAAGTTCCTTCAATACTTTCCACGTTTTTGTTTAAATATTCGACTATATGATCCAAGTTTGTATTAATCTTGTGATTATAGAGGTCTGGTATATGTCCTTGATATAATGGAGTCACTACCTCATTTGACGTTGATTCATGAGATGGTGGAGCAGGTGTAATGCCTAAACAGGATAAAAATAATATTCAACAGTAACACTATTAATAACTAATTATTATCTAGCTCAGGAATTTATTTAAAACGTTTTTAGATGCATACAAACATTCCTCATAAAATGAAAATTTATATTAAATAGTAAATTATTTTATATACCGGGTGCGTCTCGAAAGTGGCTCACCCCTATAACTTTTTACTTTTCAGAAAAAAATTAAAAAATAGATTTGGTATGTTATTATATGACATAAAATAGGACTTATTTACGTATTCAAATGTTTTTGGACACTTCCTGTTTCACCAGAAATGACAACAACTTTTGATTTTTAACGACACTTTCGGTATATTTCCACTTTATTCGATAGAAAATAACACTGAATAGAAATAGAATAACATATCATGTGTCAACTTTTGACATTTTTGCTTAAAAAATCGTATTTTAAATTTGAATCTATAGTGCCATGGCTGTGTTAAAAACACTAATTTTTAATCAAAGAGCCTTAGAAAAATAGATTAGGTTAGGTTGGGTTAATGTTTTTCGTGTCTTGTCATGGCTGGTTAAAAGATGTCCAAATCGTATTGTTAATCATATCTCAATTTTTTCAAATTGAACAACGGTGGCTCATTAGCATATTTTGAAAAAAACATGATATTACTAATAATTTGGTACTACACACTGGGTAGTTCGAATCAAATTGTCGTTATGAACCGCATGTTACAATTTCAAATAAACCATATGCGAAATATCAAAATTTGACATATGATACCTATATCAGAGTGTCATTTTCTATCGATTAAAGTAGAAATATACCGAGGGTGCCATTTAAAAATCAGTGGTTGTAGTCATTTCCGGTGAAACAGGAAGTGACCAAAAATAATTGAATACGTCAATCAATCCTAATTTATGTCATATACTAACATAACAAATCTCGTTTTTTCTATCTGAAAAAATAAGCGCCCTTTGAGCCACACCCGGTATAATTGCACCTACTGATTTTTTTTAAAGTATGGATATAAGATTATATCCACATAGGAATAACAATTCATTAATATAATATTAAATAAGATAGTATTGAAAAATAACATATTACCTTCTAAGCTAATTTCAAAATTATCAAAATTCTGATTCAAATTCAAGTCTACTGATGGAGACTCGGAGAAATGAGTATTAAACGATGTCTCATGCACAAAACCATGAGGTTCTTCTTTCGGTAAATCCAAGATATGGAATTCCTTATTTCCTGTAAATATCCCATGCTCATAACCCGGGCCATGAAAAGACTCCAAACTGGGTTTCAGTCCGTGAAAATCATGAAAATTGGGTTTATTGAGATTCAACAATTCGATGGCCTTTTCACTTGAAATCGTTCCGGACTTTATTTGTTCCAAAACTCCCTTGTCAAGGTTATCACAATAGATGTAATGGTTGATGAAATATGGTCCGTTTTGGAGCACGTTTAAAGGCTTTTTACTAAGTATTCTGGGTTGTAGAATGTTAGACAGGAATGGTGATCCTGCTGATCTTTTTGAATGTTTAGGATCACCACGTTTCACTGTTGATACTATCCTAACTAATCGTTTTGGTGGTTTTGTAGGTGACTGGATTGTTGATTGTATAAATCCGAAGCCTAATATTATCTGCAACAAAAATAAACTTAATAAATATCTAATTATAATATTTTGAAAACTGTGTATTATACTGAAATAGAGTACCTTTTTGTACCAATAAAAAATATTAAAAAAAACATACAGGGTGGCCCATGGAAAACGTTCCGCAATGCATAACGGCTAGGGTAATTTTTTTTTTCAGAAAATTCAAAAACACGTCAATTTTGTTTGTGAGTGGGACAACTATTGCCCCAAAAATGATTGCAAAATCTTCAACCCTCTAAGCGAGGGTGTCATCCCCCAACTTTTTCAAATGAGAAGGGGGGTCAAGTGGTACCGCAATGAAAAGGGCTTTTTATTCTCTATACTTTCCCGCTTCGTTTTTGAAAATCGGTCGAGTCATTGAGAAAATATGAAGGATTGAAATTTGAAAAGTTTATTTAAACATTTATCAGAGTAAATGATAAGGATAAATTCCTTCGACCAATTTGCTGTTTTTTCTTATTATTTTTAGATGTTTACGCATTTTTTCACTTGCCACAAGGTTGAACGATCAGGTGCGGCAGTTGCTAGATAGCTGTTCTGTGACTTGTAAGTTGAAGTTCTTCTCAATATCGTTAAACTTTTTAACAATTATGGTGTACTCACTTGCAGAAAAAGTAGAAATAATCGAACTTTATTTTAAAAATAATGAATGTAGCAATCGGGTTCTGCAGATATTCAATGAATGCCATCCTGAAAAACACCTTTATGGCAAAATTTGCTAAAAAAGGAAGAAATTGCTTGGAAGAAATTTATAATAAATCGAAAAAAAAATATGAAGATTTTCACTCCTTGTAGCTACGAAACAAAGTAGAATCGGGCTTATATTGATATGAAAAATAAATACTATTTTTACGTGAGGAATCTCCCTACGAAAGATGGCACATGTTTTTGAAAACACCCTGTTTAACTTAATATTTTCTTTCAATTGGATTAAAATGGCATAAAAAATTAACCTGCTACTCTGAGTATCTGTCAAATTTGACATTAAAAAAAAACAAATTACCATAAAATTGCGTTTCCCACAAACAAATGACCATAAAATTTTTGAAAAATTTAAATTAATAAGTTTTGACAGAGGTTTTGAATATAGAATACTAGATATTTAGTTTCGAAAATAACAATATTAGTCCAACTATCAGTGAAATTTATATCTGGTTATATTTATTCAAATTTAGTAAGCAACTGAAAAGTGTATTTATTTTATGAATTATTATATTAAATTTCTAGTAAAGTAAAATAATATTTTGAAATAAAAAAATTATAAAATATGTATAGTAAATTGACTTATTTTGATGACAATTCGCCATAAAAAAGAATCATATTATATAAATAGAATGAATAAAAATGAGCTAAAAATTCAAATTCTCAAAAAAACTTGCTAAAAAATATAAACAAATACAAAAGCATGCTTTCCAGAATATTAAATCTGAGGAAACAAGACATTTTGATAAAAACCGTAAAAATAGGTATTTAAATAAATAAGATATAGTGGTTCTATAATTAGCAATTTAACACTGTTAGTAGCAATTTATATATTTAGTACCTCGTAAAATGGCACTTAAGAAACAATTTTAGTATCTATCTCGTAAAGTTTTGTTAAGGATACAATATTAGACTCTATTGGAACTCTTCCTAGACATCATTAAAATTCATTATTACAAATAAATTAATATATTATTTTATTATTAACATTATATCTGTATACGATAACTATTACTATCATAGCTTCTTATTCACAGTCCGACATTATATTTCTATATCAGAAAAAATCCAAATGACAAATAAATAATGTCATCATCATCATTCTCAGCTTATTCAACCATTTCCAATTATGGCGTAGCGTCCCTCACATATTTAGATACTCTCTTTGTAGTTGGGCCCATTGTTGTCTATCGTTGACTGGGCCCAAGTTATCCCTCGAGCTCCTCCAGCAGGGGTGGGGAGCCTACCTCTAGTACTACCTTGGTCTTAGCGGAGCAGAAGCACGGATATACATCCGACTGCTCCACGAAGGACTTGCTCCAGAGGAAGCAAAAGCGAAAACACTCCTGTGAAAAGGGGAGAGGAAAGGAACCAAGAAACAGCATCTTCGCTAAAGGGCAAGAGAGAGAGCGAGAACCTCTCACATCTGCTCCGGCAAGGAGATAAAAAAGCCAGGATGGAAAGCCGTCCAGCACCGGAGGCAAGCAGAGATGTCTTATCAGCTTTGCCGCTATTGCTGGACAAGTAAAAATGGCGGTGCTGCCAAAGAATTACCCAGAGGTTGCACTGACTACTGACCAGCAAACGGCTCTAGAAAAGGCGATACTACGAAGTAGTGGCGACCGGATCGCAATACAACGATCTACAAAATGTGGGTCAGTTTCCTCTTGCGGGGATACACTTTCGGGTGGGCATGATCCTCATAGATTGTGTTTCTCAAGAATCGGCGGATTGGTTGGTTTAAATCGCACCTAAGCTTAAAAATTGGCAAGGGCCGGGACTGGTTACAGTGAAGGAAGAAAACATCCCAAAAGGGGAGGCTATCAAAGTACTTCTGCCGAGGAGCAAGGGGAGAGACACCGCCTACCTGCTGAGCCTTTATCCAGGCTCAGAACTCCAATGTAAGAACATCGAGTTGGTGAGTCGTAGGAGGGTCATGGTCAGGTCTTCACAATAGGAATTGACCTCAAATCCAAGCAGTCAATAAAGAAAGATGGATATATCCCCTATTATAGATACCGGACAACACAGATATCAGGTCTAAGGAGAGACCAAGTTAAAGAGGTGGCCAAAATGGAGACAGATCCTCCACTCTCCACCTCACGGGTACCTCAGTCGGAGGCAAGCTCCCCGATTGTGAAGAGTACGGAGGGCTCGATGACATCCAACCGTGGCAGGGTGTGTACGAAGAAAGAACATCTATTGTCAGAGAAGGATGGGAAATACCCTGTCCCCCCTACAACAGGAAAATTTATGATGGGTTATAGACTGTGTGATGAGTTATAACTCAAGGAAAGGGGACACAATAGATCTTTAAGGTCGCAGTGATTAACCCCAAATATTAAACTAGTTATTTTCCATGCAGATCCCAAGACAGGAGGGCTCGCAGAGGCTAGGGCCCGGCTGACAATCTCCTCCCTGACTATATAGCCAGTCCGACCCTGGGTATAGGTAACACTGGTAATACCAAAGTATAATATTCTTTGGTAATACTACAACAGTTTATTTTTATTAAATGATTATGATTAGGTTGGATTGTATAGGTAATAGAACACTCCAACAAATGTTTTATAACAAAAAGATAGTATCTATTACTCAAAATATAAAGAGAATTAAAATTTACTCTTCAAAGTGCCCCAAATTAGACATATACATGAATGCAAATTAGTTCTCTACAGTAAAGTTTTAAAATACGTTCATCCGATATTTTTAAAACTGAAATACAGTAAAGCACATTCGAGAGAACGAGAGCTGCAAAACGCGGAACGAAAGTACGTAAAAAGCCCCGACCAACAAAAGACACTAATTGAAGCATTTGCTGTATTTTATACTTTTTTGAAAAGTAGGGTGTAATTTGGTATAACTGTATGTCCAGAAAAGGAACAGCGAAAGCAAAAATTCTAGTTAATTTTCAGTTTCACATTTTTAAAAAAAGTACAATATGGTTTTATTTTCGCTTTGACGTTTTTATTTGCGACATACTTATTTGTCGTTTATATTTACCTCTACCAGAACTTGTAATTTTATGATAAATATCTCAAAACTATAGTGAACAAAATTTCATTTTTAGTTTGTTGTTTAGGGACGCTTTCCAAAGATATGTTTGAACGATTTTGTTTGACAAACTCACTATAAAAGTGTCATCAGTAAACGGTTGTGTTGTATGATGAATATGTAAGAACACTAAATGGAATGCAATTAGAATTTATTTAATAAATAAGCTGTCAAATGGCTTTAAGAAATACTGGATGCTTTTTAAAAGTGGCTCACCCCTATAACTTTTTTATTTTTATCCAACAAATAAACGAGATTTGGTATGTTAGTATATGGACATAAATTAGAGTTGACTGACTTGCTCAATTATTTCCGGTCACTTTCTATTACACCGGAAATGACTACAACTTTTGATTTTTAAACGATACCTTCTGGGTTTTGAATAGAATGACACCTCATATGTCAAATTTTGATATTTTCGCTGTAAAAATAGTATTTTAGATATCAATCTAGAGTGTTCATGAAGAAAATTTAACTCGAAGTAATAATAAGTGGTACCAAATTATTCGTAGAAGAATGTTAAATTATGTTAAAAATACGATTTAGACATCTTTTAGCAGCCTAGGAAAGTCACAAAAGCATTGGATAACCGAACATAATTTTCCAAGACTGCTTAAATAAAAATCAGTGTTTTTAACACTGCCATGGCATTCTAGATTGAAATTTAAAATATCTATTTTTAAAGCCAAAATGTCAAAAGTTGATATATATGTCATTCCATTGTACCGTATGATCGAAAAAAAACGGCGTCCAGTTGGCTGGGAAATGACGATTAATAACATTTCCCATATAAATTTACACAAAAAATGACACCGATCTTCATTTCATAGCTATCGCTGACGACGTTCCTTTTCGATCATATGGTATATGCATTGTATTGAGAACGTCATGTTCTATCAAATAAAGTAAAAATATACCGAAAACCACTTTAAAAAACACCCGGTATACATTATTTACTCTAATTTTTCTATCTTCTGTCGACTTCTTGTTCCTTGGAAAATGTATAAAAAATAAGTTAATTTTAAAAAAGTTATAAAAGTATAAATAAAGAATTTTAGAAATAAGCAATGAAAATATACAGGGTGGTCCGAACTGTATTCCGGAAACTTCGGCATCATATTCTGCAGATAAAAAATACCTAAAAAAATTCGTCCTAAAATGCTTCGTTTCGGAGATACAGGGTGTAGCAGTTTCAATTTTGTTTCAATTTTTTCCAAATAATTTATGAA